CCTCTAAACAGAACTAGCAAATACAGCGGAAAACGGTACACCTTTTCACATCCCAAGTAGTTGACGGTCAAATCATTCTAATTAATAAAGATCCACAAGTCATAATTTCGGATGCATCAGTGTGAACTATTCAGAGGGATAGCGACAAAGTATCTGACCGTACACTACTCACACGTTTCGCGAGTGCCAGACTCCGTGCCCTAAATCGGTCTGCATGGTGATGGATATGAACATTGAACTCTCTAAGTGGATGTAGCCACGTAGTTATAGTCTCGTTTATGGATTATGAGCATCGTCCAGGGCCATAACAAATAAAGCTATACCAACAAGCATGTACAAAATTCTGCGGACCACGGCTTCCTGCCCACAACGCCTTCTAAATTGATTAACACCGATAGTGAAGCAACGTAAAAGCATCTCCAGAATAATGTCATAGCTGCATATGTTCGTGTAACGCAAGTGATTAAACGGCTACGCAACAGAGGTAGAGGCCGAGGCAACTATGCTAGGCGTTTCACCGATACTGAGAAACAAAAACTGTGTTTTCATAAAAGAAAAAACCCAGCCAATTAAAGACCGTAAAGCTCCATCTAAAATGAATAGACACTTCAGTCGTCGCAAGTAACAACCGTCTGCTTAACAGGGCAGGCACAAAACACCAGTGAATTGCTTGAATTAGGCCATGATGAAGCAGACTTGCGCAGTATCTACCGCACTCTTTTCTCTCTCACCAACCTAAGTCTGGTGACCAGACAGAATCAGGAAGGCCGGAGGTAGAAAAACTAAACGGCCCGTCTACATGTGTCACAGACAACCTCATCTTTAGAACCTGTAGCATCTCATTTAGACGAGACTGTAATAAACGGGACTGCAGGCTGATTCTCAGTCCCGAGAGGGATAGAGCTATCCGGCTAGTGGGCTGCCATCACTTTTAGCGCTTCGTGTTCGACCAAAGCGCCTCGGTGTTATTACAGTAAGGAATGCGCTCATGTGCCGTGAAGACCAATCTTCCATTGTCGGCCTCTCTCCCTCTCTCTTCCCTCTTACATGCACCAGTCGACCGTATG